AGCGTAACTTGCGTATCAAAGATGGGCGCGTGGGTGGTTCTGGCGCCGCACCAGGCGGCGGAGAAGGCGCTCCGGAAGGTTCCGAGGAAATCGTGCTTCCCGCAGGGTGTGGGTGTTCCGTCATGGCGATGGGATGCAGCTCCCGCAAAATACAATCAAAAATTAGGTGAGACGAGTGTTATTGAAGCATGGCGTTGTTGGAAATTAGGTCAAGCAGCAAGAGGTCATGCATTATTGAGCATGCTGGCCGAGGTTTGCTCGGAACAGGCCATGGCGCGTCATCAGTGGGCACGTGCAGGGCCATGTGCTGATAGCCAACTAGCATTTGCAAACCTTACATGTGATCGATTGTGGACCCTGGATAACGCATACCTAAACTCTACCACTCTTGTCCATGTATCTATGCATGTAAACACTTACTACATAGGTGACGGCCCCTACGAGCTGCTCACCCGATTCTCTCTTCTTTGCCGTGGGCGTTGCCCCTGACGGTCGCTCTGCGGCGCCTTTTTGAGTCTTCTTTTCGCGCGGCACTGTTCCGCTCCCTACCTTCATTTCTGCCGTGGTGAGGAGATCATACAATATCGCGGCACTATTCCGCTATTTCCTTGTATTTCCGCTGTCCTAACTAGATAGTATTTCAAAGCACTACCTCTGCACAGGTATTATCAATAGTTACATAAGCTGTAGGGACGGTGTTGGGGCTAGACTTGCTCAGCTCGCTGTGGCTTCTCTTTCTCTTCGTGCGTTAGTCTGTCAGCTCTGTTCCAGAGTACACAGTCTTTCATCTTGATACGATCTGCTCTGAAAGATGGGACTGGGGCCGACTTGGTCTACACATGGTTGATTAGAGTGGATTCTAAAACACTAGTGAAAGCATGCAAGCTAGGCATGCACCGAGGGGGGAATATCATTTATAGCAATTGTGCAAACAATTCAAGCCGTCCCAGACACGCAGAGTCAGTGCCAAAGTTCTCTCGTAGAACGCATTCTCGGCAAACATAGACTGATTAAAAGATATCCATCACTGTTCCTTGACACATTTCCTGCTCCCTACTTCCGATTCTAGACTGAGACCAAACTTCGGTTGCCAACGCCATGGATAGGAGTTAATACTAGTACTTCCCACCTGCTGGCGGTTGGCCGTACTGCTGCTGACCTGGGTATCCGCTAGGACCGCCCTGCGGTGGTCGCTGACCATATTGACCTGGTGGAGGAGCTCCGTACTGGCCTGGCGGAGGAGCTCCATATTGGCCTGGCGGAGGGGCGCCATACTGGCCTTGTGGGGGTGGCGCACCATACTGGCCCTGTCCTGGTGGGGGGCCTCCGTACTGACCGGGTGGTGGGCCGCCGTATTGGCCTGGTGGGGCACCGTACTGGCCTGGAGGTGCACCGTATCCACCAGGTGCTTGGTGGTTGGTCTTCTCATCCTTGGAATCGTAGCTACGGTCAATGGCGCCAAGAAGAAGCTTGATGATCCATAGATCGGGTGTGAGATCCACAGGAGGGTTGGCGCGCATCATCTCTTCTTGCTCGTTCTCAAAGTCTAGCACAATGTTAGCGATATCCTACACACGGATTGATCAAACTTACTCGAGGTGCAGTCAACCTCTGGTCCGATTATGGGGTGCTCATCAAGTTTACTGAGGAACTTCCTGGCAGCTTCATCATTTCCAACCTGAGCGAACTCGAACGCAACAGCGCCGCGGCCATACTGTGGGAAGCCCTTGAGGGTATCAAAAGCATACTGAATGGTGTCGAAGATGGCGTTCTGAGGCTCTCCAGCTGGCTGACCATCGGTGATGGCAATAACCAGTACTGGCTTGCTCAGCTGACCGTTCCTTGCCTTTTGGAGAACGATGCCGTCAATGACCTTTTGCCTCATAGCAGTTCCCATGGGTGTGAGACCCTTGAACTGCACGCCACGCATGATTTGCTCAATCTGGGCCTCAGAGGCTACACCATCCTGGAGAGGACGACCCTGCTGGTCACGTGCGTTGGAAAGATCAGTGTTCATGAAGCGAAGAGAGATACCATCATGATCAAAGAGTGTAGCAGCAAACGAGACTCGCTCCAGGATAAGGCGCAAGTCCTTGATGCGGCTTCCCTCCTCTTCGAACTGCATGGAACCACTGTCATCTTCTACATGTCAGCTGCGCTCCATGAGCTGATTCGTGTAACTTACCGATGTAGAGGACAATGTCGTACAAGGCAAGCTTGACAATATCATTTGCGATTTCCTTTGCGACACGCCAGCGCTGAATGACCTGGTTGATCTTGGGGCCTGCTTCTTGAGCGATCCGGGTAATCCTTGGGTCGTTTGGCGGGTAGAAGCCCTGGAGGTTCTTCTCCTGGATACAAGCGTTTAGGAGTTGCTTGTAACCTTCTACCTCAGCAGGGCTGCTCTGAGATAGTTGCTGGGGAGGTGGGCCGCCTGGATATCCTCCCTGAGGCGGAGGAGCACCGTACTGACCCTGTCCTGGTGGACCCTGACCTGGTGGACCCTGATCCATACGTTAGTGATTGTTCAGATAGATTTCTTATTTGAGCAAAACGAGGTATCAAAAATCTAAAGGAGGTTGCGGGAAAATAAAAACGTATAGGGTTCAAATGACGAAGATTTGCACAATGGAGCTCCAGGATCAAGTCCATCAAAGATGAACAGGCGAGAGAGTTAACAAATACGAACATTTGGTGGGTAAGACGGTGAAAGAGGCTGGTTGTACTGCTGAGGCGGCTGTCCATAGGGTGGTTGCTGTGGTTGCCCCCACTGTCCCTGCTGAGGCGGCTGTCCGTAGGGTTGCTGCTGTCCATAGGGTGGCTGTCCGTAAGGCTGTTGTCCATATGATTGCGGGGTTGGTGGTGGGCTCCATGGCGCTGGCTGCGCCTGGCTAGGATAGGGAGATTGGGCGTATGGAGACTGAGGAGGCTGTTGGCCTGGAGGCGGCGGGGGAGGCCTGTTGTAGCCAGACTGTCCTTGAGGATATGGTGATGATGATGTGCCATAGGGACTTGGAGCGGGTGGTTGTGGATAGGGAGACTGTGGTGGTGCATTTGAACCAGGGCGCGGGGGCATAGGCGGGCCCTGTTGTGGTTGTGCATATGGATTTGGTGCTTGTCCCGGAGGCGGGGGCGGCTGGTAGGCGCTGTAGCTGGAAGCCATCTTGCTTGAGAGAGGCATGTGTGGCTAGGGCCCAAGAGCAGATTGTGGCGGGTAGAGGCCAGAGGGCGGGCGATCCAAGAGGGCGGGGTGAGTTTATTGGGAGTCAAAAAGTGGAGTGGGGACTCGTCACGGCTTGCAAATGCCTAGTCTTGGGTGGTGGCGGGCCCAGCAGGGCAGAGGGCGATGACGATGCAGGCAGAGCGGGAACTAGCAGCAAAAGAAAGAGCTTTGACTTACCCCGGGAGCGCCGGCACCTGGGGCACCTGGATACGCTTGGTACTGTTGCTGTCCAGGCTGCGTATATGCGTTAGTGAGCGCTTTGAATGCAACCCGAGCACTGACTGCACTTACATAGCCAGGCTGGCCGCCTGGAGGCATGCCGGCCGCTGCATTTGCTGCAGCCATCTTGCTTGCGAGCTACATCAGGTCAGCTTAATCTGTCTGCGTATATACTATACACCTCGATGACGCAGGCGGTGTCAAGGGGGGGAGGATGGAGGGGCAGCCAAGGAATCACAGGATAACATACACCCATTGTTGTGTGTGCGTGTGTATTGCTTCGGAGCTTCTCACGGTGTTGAAGGAGTTGAGAAAAAGCTTGACAAGGCTGGTTTCCCAGGTGGAGCTCTCAAGGTTATGAAGGAAGAAATGGCGGGTGAAGGAGCGTGGGTGCCTTGCGCGCTGTTTGTGGGAAGGATGGCGCAGAGGCCCAGGTCAGCGCAACATGTTGGTCAGCTCCGCCCCAGCAGGCCCCCATTTCATCGTCTGACGGGTCTCGTCATTGGCCATTGGCCGACCGCGTTGGGCTTTGGGCGTGTATACGTGATGAAATGTGGGACATTTTGAGGCTGAGCTGTCACCAACTCAGCGAAGCCACCATGTTTGTACAAGGGGCGCTTACGAACGAGCGGGGCATTCTCAGGCGAGTAGATGGTCCTACTCTTCCAGCCACTTGGACACATTGTGCATGTATACTACATGTAACGATCAATCATCTTGCGAAGAATACATTTATCGCTCATAGACCCTTTTGCCCACTCCAATGGCGGGTCAGGCTCCGTTTCACTGCCACTGCACAGCCACCATTGTGGCCCAAGCTGTGCCACCGTCTATGATCACGCATACTACGTCATCTCGGCACCTGATATCTGACAGCCCATTGTCTTACTACGTTACTACGCTCATCCTAGTAATTGAATTGAAGCTTGCAGTTCCAAGCACGCGTCGTGGCGGACATTCAATCCACTCAGAGCGAAGAAAATATTCACAGTATAAGCTTGATATACCTGACATTGGGACATCAATGGGTGTTAGATACGGTTTACCAATTGAATTTTTCCAAAAATAGAACAAGTGAAGAAGCTATACCAAGCTTCAAGCAGCTTTCTGGGCATGGTATTATTACTACTGGAAATAATAACCCGTTAATGAGATTCTGCAAATGCTATCAGACAGTTATACCAAGACTATATTCACATGTGCGCCATTGGTCGAGATTTGAAATACCAAATGTTGGATCCTGTTCTCAACCCTACACTACAACTTTACGTCTGCATGTCAAAGCCAGCAATGTACAGCTGCAATGAACACAAACTGCATCCGACCGTAAAATGTCAATGGCATAAAATCAAAAACAATGGCCCATCGTGAACGCACCTTAATGACGATTATTTTCGTATCCAGACTTCCCCTCAGCTGTAACCAGGCACCCGTTTAGAACACGCAGATGCCCCGCAACCCCGCCATCACCACATCGTGTATACAAGCCATTTGAGCAACCCTCCCTTCGTACACAGACGCAACAATCCACTCTTTCCCTCAACAGAACATATATACCATGTCCAACCAAGAAATCAACAACGCGCGCTTCAGCACCGAAGCCCTGGAATGGGATTCCAACAAGAAGCACGTGGAATCCACCGCCAACGCCCTCGAAGCAATAAAACGCTACGTACCCGCCTTCAAAGAAGGTAAAAATAAAGGTGCGTATACTTATCTTTTGTTAACCCTTTTTTAAAAAAATACCAAAATAAAGATTATAAAAAACATCTTCCCAAAAAAAAACGTGAAATAAAAAAAATCCGAAAACCGAAATCAACCTCGAATTCCCCAAAAACTGATGATAGAAACCAGATCTCGACGTCCTAGAAATCGGCTGCGGCACCGGCCTCCTCTCCTTCATGCTCGCCCCGCACGTCCGCAGTCTAATCGGCGTCGACACCGCCTCGGGCATGATCTCCGCCTTCAACCTCAAACTCGCAAGCCTACCCACTGACCACCCAAACCTCTGCTCCGTAAACCACTTCCTCACCAACCCAGACGCACACGAGCTGCAAAGTGCCGCAGCACTGCTAGCCACGCACCGGGGAGAAGAACCCAAGCCGCCGTACGAGTACCGCTTTGATCTCGTAGTGTCGCATTTGACGCTGCATCATATACCGTCTATGCCGGATATCCTGCAGACGATGCATCGGTGTTTGCGGCATGGGGGCGTGGTAGCGCTGACGGATTACGAAGATTTTGGGCCAGAGGCTGTGCCGTTTCATCCTGTGAGTAAGCGGGCTGGGGTGGAGAGGCACGGGATTAAGAAGAAAGAAATCGAGGAAATGTTGCTGGGGACGGGCTTCAACGAGGTGAGGGTTGAAGAGGCGTTTGTGCTGAGGAAGGAGGTAGAGGCTGAAGATGGGAAACCGGCGAGGGAGATGGATTTTCCGTTCTTGATTTGCTTTGGTGTTAAGAGTTAAAAGGAATGCAATGCAATGCAGCTAGAGATGAAGGGGAAAGGGTTAAAAAGGTTCAAAAATCTTTCATCAGGTCGTTGACGGCTTTGGCGGCGAAGCGTTTGCGTTCGCCTTCTTCCATGCCCTCGCCCATTTCTTTGATAGCAACCACTTTCCGCATCATGACTTCGAGATCTTCAACGTCTTTGTCGTCGGTCTCTCCTTCTTCATCGCCATCATACCCTGCAAGCGCGCTCTTCATGCCAAACAGCTCCATGTTCATTTCTGCCTCTTCTGCTTCAAAGCTATTCTCGAACCCTTCTTCGTCTTCCCCAAAATCCAAGGCTGCACTGCTCTCCCACTCCGCTGCCTCGAGCGCTTCCCGTACCCGCTGCACTCCCGTGGCTTCGCCAAACTCGTTTTTGCCCTTCTTCTCCGAGTCAATGTATTCGAAACCATAGTCCATGGCCAACTCTTCCCACTCCTCGTGGCTTTTGTCCAGGTACGGCGTAACAGATTGCGGCATCGCCACCGCTAGGCATGCAATGTCGCCGCCATAGCCACACGCACGTTCAATTACGTCCGAGATGGCCTGCATCGTTTCTTTGACTTTGTCTACATCTTTTTCTTCAACCGGTCTCTTGAAACAATATACCCATGCACCGAGCGCTGTGACGACTTCGCGGGCTTCTGGTTTGGTGAATTCGGTGCGCCACTCCGCAACGTTGGGTAATTCGTCGATCCATATGGGCACAGTGGCGGTGTAGTACTTGGTTTCAATGCGCAACTCGTGCGTAAGGCCGGCTGTGGTATTGGATGTGGGTTCTGGAGCGGAGCCTGTGAGCTCTGCAGGACAATTAGCGAATGGCGTACGAGCAACCACGTGGAAACATGCCTTTGAGAAGTGGTAGTACACCAGCATCTGGCGCCCCAACAATTAAAAGGCGTCGTGGATTCTTGATATCCATGCTATCCATGCCCTCCATGCTGTTCATATTGTGGCGTTGTGCTGGAAAAAAGTGGTGGGTTGCGGAGTTCTCGGGGGTGAGCCCTCGATCTTTCATTGTGGGGCAACAGGCTGCGATGATCAAAAGCAATAGCGACTGCGCCTAGACTACACGCTAAATGTAGCAGAGACATACATCTCTTCAGACCATCACGTGTCACGCAATAGTTTCGCACTCTTTTGAAAATGAACATTCATTCGTGTTCAAAGGTATCATCAAATTTGCTATCTCGTTTTCAGCGTATGCCCCAGCAAAAGTGACCTGGTATCATACCTGTCGGTGTATCCCCCTTGCCATTTATCGATCGCATTAAGCGCGTCTTAACAGCTGATGCGCCTGGGATTGCTTGCTTGCTACTGCCTTTCAAGTTGTGTCTTTGCCAGAATTCCTCACATGGTTCAACGTCCACCACCTCGAGTGCTAGCCCTTGCCCTGTTCACTGTGGCCCTGCCACGTGCAAGACCAACACCGCGACCCCTCGTACCTCTCGATCGGAACATGGGCGCGTTCCTACCCGTAGTTAGCACCTTGCTCAGTGAAGGTTCCCTTGACGAGCCTACCTCAACATGTCGGGTACAATAAAGTATCGTACATGGCTTCCCCGGATGTAGACTTGCTCAAGATGTGAGACACGACCATCGCGGGCGGTCACAGTAATGTCCTTTAGCTGCACGTTCATGTTGTCCTCAGCTGCGAACCCGTTAGCAGGGTTTAAGTGTTATAGATAGGGTAGGAATCGGACCTTCAATCAGCTTGCCACGGTAGACTTCGCCGGATGTGATTTCGAGCGTGACAATGTGGCCCTGCTGAAAGTCAGTACTGACATGGGAGAGTTCGAGAACCATGTTGCGCATACCGCTGCCTCATTGAGAAGCTTGATTGGGATACCGATAGTGCTCGTCATCTTTGAAAATTGGGTTTTGGGCTGAGATTGTAGGCTTGTAGCTAGTTATGCGCGTGCCTGAGGTTGCGAAGAGGACGTTCGGTGAAGATCCGCGAAAGGTGCTGAATCGGATAATCGAGGTGAATGCGCTCGTTGTTTCGCCAAGATGTTCGCCGAGTGACGCACTCGTCAGTTTCAGTGATAATTTCAGAGGCACCGCAGTGGGTGGTTGTGGATAGTTTTGGTACAGGCCTGCTGCGCGTACCAATATCGCTGTCTACAGAAAGTTGAAGGTTGAGCTTGGACCATTCACTTAGTCATCACGTGCACGCGGATCTGGCCCTCTGAACTCATTCTTCCTTTCTTTGCTCTCCTCGTCAACGAGCGAAAGATCAGAGCTCACCTCAACGACTTACTTCAGTCTTTAAACTCAGATATCGCCGATAATATAAGGAAAAACAATGCTGCAAACTGATTTTGAATCCAACTTTCTTCTCTAAACGAGATTATAGTCTCATGGACGACTTGACTTGTTTCTATCTGTTTGCTATACGGCGTGTCAAATTGATTATCTTGGAAAAGAATGACAGTCTACATTTCGCCCTGCCCAAAGTGGGTATTCAAGACAAAATAATTTTGCGGTCAAAGTGAAAGGATTTAAATAAGAAGCCTGTGTAAAAACCTTGGAGCTTCGGCTTAGAGACTTACTACGTTAGCGAGACCCTGCTTTTGAGCCATGGAAATTGGTTGGTAATACTACCAACAATATGTACATCTCCCAGCAGGTATATGCTTATTGCGAAAACCTCTATTGGGTACAACGAACTCAATTATGGTTGCGACAAAGGCAGCAGCATAACGACCTATGGTGACAGACTATATAAGGCAACCTAGGCTGCTTTAAACGAAATCAGAAGAGTACCCCGATCACAAAAACCGGATTTCTAAATCTTCATTCTTCTTCACCTTTAAATCGTTTAAAATGCATCTCGTTACAGCTCTCTTCGTCCTTACGACCATTGCCACAACGACATCCGCCCTCAAAGCCCGATACTACAGTGATGGTCTCTGTTGGAAACCCAACGTCGAAGTTGATGTACCAGCCAATGGATACTGCTACAACTACAGCTACGAGAACAGTCACAGCGTCAGCATAGCTTCTTGCGATCACCTCCCAGGATGCGGTTGCATCTTCTTCGAATTTGAAAACTGTACGGGAGTTAGGAGGAACGTAGATATTAATGACAAAAACTGTGTCTGGAACTGGAACGTTGAAGGCTTCGCTTCCATGAGGTGCTTCGAATACGTACCATAAATTTGGCCATCTGAGATACCTGCGGATGGATCATCCATCGCCAGTCATGTTGGATCCGTTTCCGACCTGCTATCGACATTTATAACGGCACTGCTTGGACACATTTCCGACCTTTTGGGTTTGAGTGAAGAAGTGAGGCGGGAAATTTGGCAAAAGGGTGGTAATAGGAGAGACGATTGGCTATATTTCTACGAAAGGCGAGGGATTCTGTTGTGTCTTTCTTGTGGATGGTATCAATTCGATTCAATTCTAGTATTGATCAGTCAAGCGAGAAGCCAAACCCTAGTGACCTGCATGTATCGATATTGAATTCAATCCGGTAATCGTCAGTAATAAACCTCAAGTCAAATGTACTGTTGAGCAAGCCTACATTCGTTTCAACCCTCTTCCTCTCCTAATTCCTAAGAGAACAGGCAAAGTTCCTGCTGCTCGGAACTATTCGGAACGCTCGGAACGCGCATCTCTCGCTGCTCACGAACTCGTGTCTTACCCAAAATACGTCACATCACAGCATCCCCATACACGTCCTAAAAAAAACCATCATGAATATCTCCGGCACATTAAACATCTTCCGCCTCTTGCGAGACCCCACTCTCTGCCTCCCCCAACACACAATCCCAACATTCAACCAGCTCCCCATCCCCCTCAGCAAAGCCTTTCCACGCAAACAAGGCGAAAAAGAAGTCGACATTCGCGCCGTAATCCTAGACAAAGACAATTGCTTCGCCGTTCCTCACACAGATGAGATTTATGAACCGTACCAAGTAAGCTGAATCCCACCAAATTCCTCCCGCCCCCACTCCCCCACATACTTTACCACGGTGAAGATAATAAACTCACATGACCACCTTTTTCCACCCCTAAAGGACCACTTCACACGCCTCCGCGCTGCCTACCCCGGCCGCAAACTCCTCATCGTATCAAACACAGCAGGTACATCCTCGGATCCACATGGCACCCAAGCAACGCTGCTAGAACGCAACACCGGCGTCGTCGTACTGCGTCACTCGACCAAGAAGCCCGGGTGCAAAGACGACGTCATGGCGTATTTTGCGGCGCACCCGGAGACGGGAGTTACGCGACCTGAGCATGTTGCAGTGGTGGGAGATCGGTTGAGTACGGATGTTATGATGGCGAATTTGATGGGCGGGTATGGGGTTTGGGTTAGGGATGGGGTGCAGGGGAGGGGATTTGTAAGTTTTTTCCTTTTCCTCGGTTTTTTTCTTGGTTCTTGATGGAAACTGATGGTGAGAGTAGTTTGCGAGAATGGAGGATAAGTTGCAAAGTTTCTTGTTTGGAAGGGGGTATTGTGCGCCTGATCCAGGTAGGAATCAGTTTGAGTAGCTTGATGTGTAGCAGGGTAGAAAGAAGGTGAGTTTGTTACAGATTCTTTGTGCAGGGAGCCTACGTAAAAGTGTTGCGGGGTTTTACACATGTGCATACTTGGGACTACTGCTACTGCATGATTTGAGGCAAGTAACTAGTCCAGACTATAGGGAAACAAAGTATCTCGCAGGGGCTGTGAAGTCAACTGTGATGACGACGTAAGTATCAAGGAGAACATTTGAGTGTTGAGTGCACAGTACGCTTTATGGTGAGGACCAGGTTTTCTACTCACAATAGATGATGCACAGCAGAATTGTCAATAAGTGATTCCAACAAAGTTGATTTGCAAGTCATATATACAATGCAACCTATCTCCGACAAACTCGACGAGACCAAGTCTCAGTAGCATCCATTTACATTGGGAACATGTCCAAAATGACCATGAACCCTTCAAAAAAGAGTGAAGTATATACAGGGTAGAAGAGCAGCCTATTCCAACAAGCGAGCACCTTGGCCACCTCGATGACTCGCCTCATTTCATCTCAGACCCATACTGACCCATTTAGTTGGCAGCAGTCCACAGAGCAGGGCCAGGGAAGGGGTAAGAAGTAGGGTTGGTGTAGATGTTGAACAAGATACCAGGGGTGGTGGGGGTGTACAGGCTGGTTCCTGGAACACCGTTGGTGGGCCTGACAGTGCCGCTGCCTCCAACCTTGATGTTGATGCCTGAAACCCTCACGTTAGCATCTGCACTAGAATTCAAATCAAAGGACACAGAGAGAGGATAAACTTACATTGAGGGTACAGCTGAGCACCGTTGGGGCTCGATCCGCCGTGCAGGGCGATAATCTCGTGGCGAACAACGTAGTTGCCAGCAGCAAGCTTAGACGGCAGCTTAACGGAAGCTTTGAATCCGTTCTTGATGAGGTTGTCAGTGACCCAGACGTTGGGGCTGACGATGGCCTCCTGGGCGAACTTGGACCAGCGGAGGTCGCTGGGGGACATGCTTGAGCATTCACCTGTTTGGACCGGGAAAAATTAGCTACCACAATTCTTCCAGATCAAGATAGAAGGGGGACCAGGGGAGCGGGTGAATACGTACCGTTGCAAGGAGCAATGTAGTGGATGATGGGTCCCCTGTGGCTGTCTGGCCAAGTGTTCCACTCGAATTCGATGGTATCGCCGGGGTTAGCGTTGGCGTACAGCTTGCCTGGTGTGGCGCTCTTGTGGCAGTTTACGTCTGCGGATGAAGCCCTGTTGGGCTCGACGAAGCCGAGATCCTGGTTCAGGGAGTCCCAACCGGCGGTTGCGACGCGGTTGTTTCCTTGGTAGAACCAGACTGGGTCGGAGCCCTTGGTTGAGACACCCTTGATGTTGACGGTCTTGACGAAACCGTGGGCGGATACATTCTCAACAAGGAGGGCGGCAGCGCTGAGGAGAAGGGTGGAAGCGTGCATGTTTGCTTTTAGTGTTGAGCTGCTGTTGCTGTGCTTGGAAGTGATTGTCGTGGGCTGTGGGTTTGGTTTCACGGCACTTCCACTGCTTCTTATAGATGTTCTCTTTTATTACACAAAGTCCTGAATAGGGTGTTTCAATGGTCGAGGTCGGTCTAGGAAGGGCGCGGAGTGTCGTCCCGGGCTGTTCTTGGTAAGTCAAGAAGTACATAGTGCTCTTAGATGACTACAAGCCCGTAGGGACCGACTAGTAGCAGTAGTTTGGCATGGCCTACACAGGGCTACACAAAGCTTGTAACAATCTAGTATGGCGCTACGACTGTTTACTCGCCTTCCAAGGATTTTGGCACTAGGCAATGTGACTTTGGGTGGAGAAGTCGATATTACAACGATATTATATCCCCCCCTACACTGTGGCTGGAGCGTGCAGTTGCAGTGTACGAACCTGGTTTTTCCAGTGGGGCAATCTATTTACCCCGGAAACCTCATATAAAATGCCGGTAGCAACTAATATAAACACCACGCGAGTAGCGAATGACAACGAAACAACACTTGTAGCGATTTGGCGTCACCAGTTCGGGAAGTTTCTAAGGTTGGCGCGTTTTGCATTATTCCGATTGCATCGGAGTTTGCTGATGCTGATAGGATTTCTGCGTCCATCTATGGTTCTCATCGGTCTTGGCTTCAATTTGTACTGCTGTAAGACATATCGGGGGTTGCTGGGTATAGTACGACTGCGCAGTGGCGTCATGTCGATTTTACAAAGTCCCACCTATAGCCACTGACTCCAACATGCAGCTGTAGTCCACCATCACCCGTTGTTGCTGGCGCAAAGCCCATGATTCATAAGTGCTCGGGTATATGGCACATGGGCACGGTGCCAAGGCGGTCATTTCACGATGGTGAAGCTCGGTAAGAATGCTCAGTAGGCTTGGCCGCGCGAAGCGGACAGTATCGTAAAAGCACGTGGCCCGGCCCTCCCGTATAGTCTCGCCTTACCACCGAGTAGTAGTCCGAATACGCCATGTTTCGTTAGCCTGCCCCAGGCACAGTGAAACGGCGAAGCACGTGCACATAACACTGGGCAAAGTAAGACGGTTTTCCTGTTGGGAGTAGCGCGTCGCAAGATATGCATACTGGTGGTCTGATTGCCTTGTACTGGATCGAATGTTTGATGAAGATTCCTAGAAACAGCAGACTTCGTACTGCGACCATGTCCGCCACCGCTAGTCAGCTATCCGCAATCACGCATACGTTTTGACCTTTTCTTCGGGCCATCGCCGACAGTCCGACCCAAATTGTCTGTGCATGCTGAACAATACCTAAAACCAGAATATAATCCGCACTTGGTGACTAAATAGTGTTCAAGAGGAAGAAAAAAAACTGGATTAGAAATGACTACGTAGAAGGCTTGATGAGTCAGTATGGAAGTCGACGAGTTTCAACGTGTATATAATCGGTTTGGGATGCTCCCTTCATCGTGATAAGAACTTTCGAACTACCTTTTCCTATATAAATCTTTCGTATCTCCAGACGCACTAAAACGATAATGACGACACCTTGTCGCCTAAATCTTGAGGCCTGTGAAGAAGACAGAGCAAGACATGGCACGCGACTTGGCTGTAACAGCGGTACAGCTGTTTGTGAAAACAAGCAAGGATTACCAAGATGGCTCATACCCTCAGACCAACGGGGCTGGCGGCGGATAGTACAAAACTTCACGCCTTCATGGGTGCGCAAATCACTACTATAGAATAAATGAAAGGAAAAGCTAACATGATGGAAAGTTTGCAGTCACCATGGGCACAGGCATTGTGGCTGTTTTGCTTCATACGCTGTCAAATCTCTATCAAAGTTACCATGACTTGCTGAGGACTCTCAGCATCGTTTTCTTCGTCTTGAACGTTGTCATCTTTTCAGTCATATTTGTCATATCGGTCTTACGGTACACCTTGTTTCCAGCAACATGGACATTGATGTTACGGCACCCTGTGCAGTCGCTCTTCCTTGGTACCATGCCCATGGGCTTCGCCACCATTGTTAACATGTTTGTCGCAATCTGCGTACCGGTGTGGGGTGGCTCAGCTCCATATGTGGCATGGGGAATGTGGTGGCTGGATGTCGTCATCAGCGTTGCTTGTTGTCTATGGCTCCCATTTCAGATGTAGATGCCCCTTTCGCCCACTTTTGTAACTTGCGACTGACATTTGTGTAGGATGACACAACACAGGAACCAGCATGAGAAAATGACAGCAGCTTGGCTTCTGCCAATTGTCGCGTGCATAGTCGCAGCTGCATCTGGTGGACTGGTGGCTTCCGTTCTGTCCGACGACAGCCACGCTCTCATCACCATAATTACCAGTTATGTGCTCTGGAGCATGGGCCTCCCCCTTGCGCTGGTGATTCTGACAATTTACTTCCACCGACTCGCGATTCACCACCTCCCACCGAAGGAAGTCATCGTCAGTGTCTTCTTGCCTCTGGGACCCATGGGACAGGGCGGTTACGCCGCAATGCAACTTGGTATTCAAGCATCCAAAATCTTTCCAAGAACGCAAACACTACACCCGATGGCTGGTGATATTCTGTATGTGCTCGGATGGATTACCGCGTTGGTCCTCTGGGGGTTTGGGCTCGTATGGCTTTTCTTCGCCGTGGCATCCACCAGTCGCAGCAAGTTTCCTTGCAATCTTGGATGGTGGGGCTTTACATTCCCAATTGGCGTATTTACCATGTCTACAATCACCATGGGACAGGAGATGCCGTCGGCTTTCTTCAGAATTTTTGGGACGGCACTTGCTGTGGGTGTCATCCTGCTTTGGCTCTTGGTTTCGGCAAGTACGGTTAAGAATGTGCTGTACGGCGATATATTTGTGGCACCCTGCTTGAAGGAGATGGAAAAAAGAGCTGCTACTGAAGCGGAGATGAGGGCGTACAGGGATGTTTGATCTAGATTTTACGTGTATTTAGCCTCATGAGCATCTAAGAGGGTGATAATCCGTGTCTCGACTTCCTATGAGACACCATAAACAGTGTATATGCCGGAGTGTCGCCATGGTTTGTGTAGGAGGGCCTGGTACCCTAGGTATCTGACCGTACGATCGAAGTTGTAGCCCAGGCTATATGAGCTAAACTGGGACGCGCGCGAGCCCTTACGTGAGGGGACCCCACTGCCTAAGGGTAGGACACCCGTTTGCTACTCGATATCCAGGGCACGTTGTACCAAGCCTTGCCCCTCTCTCTATTGTGCCACCACATGTTCATCTTGACCACCACTCAGAACAATTGAAACCCATTCCAGTAAATGTATCCGAAGACAGCGAGCGCACTCGTAGCCGCAAAAGGCAAGCTCATTTCCACCACGCTCCAAATCCAGAGAGTGCCCACTGGAGGAGCCGACTTCATGACGTAAAAGTATCCATGTTGGTTTCCCGAGTACACCAAGTAGCAGCCTGCAGCGATGGAGCCAGCGAAGAAGACTACATCTCGAACCTTGGGAAAGCGGTAGGTAATGTCGACGTGGGTAAGGTAGACCAGAACAGCGAATATGGGCCATGCCGTAGCCGCTCTCCATATAATCTCATTCCATATAATGTCCTCCCTGTACTGGTTGTATACAAGGACGTCGAGGGTGAGGTGCAGTGCTGCCATGGAGACGGAGTAGAGAACCGAGTCGCCTAAGGGTCCGATGGGGGGCCCTTGATCGTCGCCGACGGGTCTTGATGCCATGGCGGCTGCCCTAGCGGCCTTTCTGGCAGGATTTAATTCATCTAGCTCTCGCTGTCTCTCTTCGGCCAGGTCAAAAAGGGTCTTGCCCTTGGGTTTGGAGAAGTCCGGATGCCGAAGAATCATCTCGACTCCATCTTGGTCAATCTCAGTCGAAGGCTGCAGTCCGCCTCCGGTGGCTTTTGCATTAAATGCGGTACCCTTGGCGCGTCGCTCTTTCCTGTTGGACATGATGGGTATGGTAGAATAATAGGCGGATGGAATGAATTGGGGATGCAAGGGGAATGTTCGCGTGTGCGGCTCCTCGCAATGTCGAAGATGACGTGGGTCAAAGCGCGTGCCAGAACCGCCAGTGGCCTCCTACAGTCAACCTTGCCCCAACCATGAACTCAGCGGCATTCTCAAATCATTTGATACTTTATCTAGCACACTATTGAAAAATTGGTTGGCTATGAATTGGACCGTCTGGGCATCGCTGCCCCTCCTCATCTTCGCCTTCTGGATGTACACCAGCACGCTCAGCGCATCCTTCCCCACCCTGCACAACAAACGCATTCTGCTTCTCATAGCACATCCAGATGACGAGGCTATGTTCTTTGCCCCGGCTCTGCTTACATTGACGCGTCCAGAACACGGAAATCACGTCAAGATCCTGTGCCTGAGCAGTGGTATGATTGACACCTCTCCCCACGTCTTCTCAAAGGGCCGCCACTAATGTCAGCCATATCACAGGCGATGCCGACGGGCTGGGCCACGTGCGCAAGAAAGAGTTAGTCAAGAGCGGGCTGCAATTGGGTATTAGGGGCGAAGATGACATTCTTGTCGTTGAGGACAAGTATGCGCTGCAAGGGCTGGCATCGTACACCTGACTGATTGTCATGCAGGAACTTTCCCGACTCCATGACCGTAACATGGCACCCTCGTCTAATCTCCAACCTGCTTACCACGGCCTTTGCCCCAGACCTGTCTTCGATTTCTTCCAAGGATGCACCGCAGGCCACTATTGACGCCATCATCACATTTGACGCACGCGGCATCTCCGGCCACCCCAATCACAAGTCGCTCCACGCCGGAGCCCACAGCTTCCTCAAGGCACTCATGCACCGTCACAGCGGCTGGGAGTGTCCCGTCAAGCTGTACACGCTTACGACCATCCCAATCTTCCGCAAATACCTCGGCTTATTCGACGCCCCTGCTACCATTATTGGCGCAATGCTGCAAAAGAAGCAGCTGGGGGGGTTCCCAACTCCACTCCTGTTTGCCAGCTCACCGATCGGTTACAGGACGGCTCAGAAGGCCATGACTACTGCGCATGAGAGCCAGATGCGCTGGTTCCGCTGGGGCTGGATCACCCTATCGCGGTACATGGTATTAAACGACCTGAAACTCGAAAAGACACTTTAATGCTGGTCTTGGCCATGTCCGCCAGCCACAAGAAATCAGACAAAGACTTGAATCAGTATAATACCAGACGTGGTCCGACACAATCGGTCGATTGACTGACCAGGGTGTGCATGGAGCGCTGATTTCCGGCCACTGATCCCATACGTTGGTTACGCGACAGCGCATGCAGTGTTGCCGACAAACAAGGAGCGAACGCCCAGGCAGAATATCAGAGGCCCTGAATTTGTGTCACTACCAAGACAGGCAAGTCGGAACACGGAACTTAAGCCGCGGGTGAAGGCTCCACCCTTGGTGCGCTCCGGCGCGCTCGCGGGTGCGCGGCTTCATGGTTCCGTGCTGCTGGGACAGTCCTCCGCTACACAAGAAGTGCAAATTCAAATATGCTCCCAGCTTTCTTAATCCTATACCATATCTCGGACTATCTATCTTTTTTGCGCATCCGCTGAAAACCGTAAAGTCCATTACGTAGAAAGGAGGTACGGTGCTCTGCCTCGGAATCGCTCCTGTTCACGTGGATCGGATATCGGATGACAAGGGCACCGACCCAAGCGTTGACAACACCGCCACAGTGTGTAAACTCCAGCAGTAAGCTACTAGATGAATGCGTGGCTTGACACTTTCGACTGACGCACCCGGCTTCAGAAAGCACACTCCTACGACCGTAGCCTAACCCGCAGGATCCCGGGTGTTGGTGTACATACCATGCTCACAGCACCCATCCTTCGCCTGCCAGTGGAGCTTCATTCGGAAATCATCAAACTCCTTGATATTCGCGATAGAGTCAACCTGGCTTCCACATCCCGCTACTTCAGATTCCTCATCCCTGCGCCAACGCACAACGAGCTTCTAGTCGCTGAGGACAGCGCATGGGCGAAGTCGAGTCAGCTATATGCTTGTAAGGGTTGCCTGAATTTCTGGAGTTGGGCTAGCTTTGCGGACAGTATGAGGAAAGGAAAATGGTGTCGCAGTGGGGCGTTGGCGAGTTCAAGACTATGTCTAAAATGCGGGGTAAACAGTGCGCTATATACTCCGGGTGTGCATCTCAGAGTCTGTAATCGGGCACATGTACTCTGCGCTCAATGCCGGCGACTAACTGATCAGATCGGTCGCCATGGCATGTGTACTACATGCTCTCCCGACATGCCGCGAGATCACCAGTCTCAGTATTTCGATGATGACGACGACTGGACCTACATGAAAGACCGAATCTCCGACGGCAATCACATGCAAGAATTCAGTGACTGGCCTGAAGAAGAGCATTTATCTAGGTACTGAACCACCGAAAGTCATTTGTAATGTTCGATTTGCACTGTCATATAGGTGGCTGGAAACAGCTACACTCTATGCAGCAACTCAGAATGATGTTCGTTTCTCGTCATCTTTGAACATAAAATCATGGCACAATACTGCCGTTTGAGCATCGAAACTGTTGTACTACTAGCGTTTCTTTTCATTTGTACTTGTCACGGCCGTTCTTCACGCATCGTTCGTCAATCGCTTCGTCACTCTACACGTCATGCGTGTCATCGGAATTCACAATCGGCCGGCGGTTGTTAACAAGATGTCTATAGGGCTCAATTCCAGATATTTATATTTTACTGATATTTGTCGACAAAGGTTTGGAAACGAGTTACATTTCAAAAAGAGTGTCCTGACTGTACTTGATGTCATACTTGTTCACATATGCTCAGCGTTGACTTACCCAACCAACGATACGACTGGATATGATAAATCCTAAGCCTACCAGTCGGCCTACCTCGCCTACATTACAGCATCCTGTCCCTCAGCGACCTGCTACTTTGAGAAGACGCATTTCTTCGGGTTTGGACACTTTCATGTCAGTCTTGCAATTGCGGAAGACAACTCCAAAGCAAGATCCAGCTCCACGACCGATAACGGCACCTGCACCAATTCGACCATTTGTACACCAAGGTATCAATATTGCTCAAGCCACAGAAAAACAAGGCCCGACTCCAGAGCTACACCAGCCTTCCCGGGGTGAATATGAGCAGCCATGTCCGTATGATAGGACCAAGTACCACTCTTTCTCAATCATTGAGCGTTCTCGGTGTACCTTTTGCGGCATGCGATCATCCAGACCCAGTTCCAGCGAGCCCTGTCATGACTGTCGGTCCAAGAGCCCCTTTTCGCATATCAAAATGGGTTTCCGACAGAAATTGACACCTGAAGATAACAAAAACATAAGACATTCCAATTCAAATTTCTCTCTCGGACCTAGCACCTCATCTGATGAAGGCCCACGCATCGTGTCTCCTGAGATTGCAGCAAAGAGGATCGGTAACCCACCCAGAAGAGCAGCACTTCCAATACCGCGCCCGGGAGCTATAAGCAATATCCTCAACCCGCCCTCTGATCACCCGGCATTCCGACCACCAGAACACAATTTAATCTCCTCTGCCGGAAGCGCTCCCAAGGGCAACGACGTGAGAACCACTAGCCCCAAACTGCATTATCTACATGGCTTACCCGACTCCAAGGCATACCCGTATGTTCACAAGAGAGAAGTAAAGGACCACCTTGCCGCTATAGATGCTGGAGTATCAAGTCCTCTGGCAGAGTTTGCATTCACTGTGAACCGGCAGAAGGAACGAAATCGGTATACAGATTTCTCCGAGACTGTTTTCTACGGAAGCTGTCCCAGTCCGACGCTAGTAAGCGATGTTCATAGGCTGTTACCAGAACAGAGTAGGCGTAGCAATACTATCGTAGAGCATACGCTGGTAGTAGGTGGGCATGTCGTTCCCAAACGGTCGCAAGCGCAGCAGCAAAGAAGTATTGATGAGCAGCTGTATGACAGTGACGTGTATGCACAAAGATCTTTAACACTGCAAGCACCACGAACAGGCACCTCGAGACCATGTAGTCGGAATGAAATCCACGGCACTATTCCTACAAGTTCGACTCATAAAAATTCTCGCAAAAATGAACGATCCATGCACAAACCCGGTTTTGACGGTGGAAACGTCCCAAGACTCAGAGGCGGCGCTGGAACTCATCAAGTACGTCTTGGATACGGCCTGTTATTCAAACAGCTACTACTCACATGCCACCGACCCGACTCCGACTCTAGTAGCGACACTGAAGACTCACCAGTTCGAATCCCAGACCCAACCCACATAGCCCGAACAATGCGCAGAGCACAGGATATTACGCGCCTTCCATAGAACCTTTCTCGCGCACCTACCACATCCTGTACGACAGGAAGCTCTTCCAGCAACGGTAATGCCGTCCCTGCATCCCAAACAGCCAATTTCACAGCCACATACACACAGCCACAGCCTCTTCTCTGCAACATGCCCTGTATTCCTTGCGCCTCCCTCCTTCCTTCCCCGACTCAACTTCGCGGTTAGGACTCTCCTATCAATTCTACCTACCCTTCGTCTACACCTCCAACTATCGTACCCTGTCTCAGAGGCGGTGGGGGTTCCCCATCTGCGCTCCGCGACCAAGACAATCTGCCACCAACGCTGGTGTGGCTTGCGGGCGGGAAAAGGAAGATTACGACGGTTGCAAAATGGAAGGAAAAGAAGCCGAAGGTTAGGATGGGAGGGATGCTGGGGTGGGCTGTGTATGGATCGAGGGCTGGGGAGGTGCGTGGACAGGGAACGGGGGAGGGGAAGAATGCAAAGTATGCAGGTGGTGATGGGGGCGTGGCAAAGGTGCAAGACAGTACACCAAAAGAGACGCAGAGAGTTGCGGTAGAAGAGAAGAAAGAAGGTGCGCCCCAGGATCCGGCGCCAGAAGCTGTTGAAGGAGAAGCGGTACCGTCGGTTAATGAGGTTGGTGCTGAGAAATGAAAGCAAGCAGAGGAGAGATGGGAACTGCATGAATATGTGTATCCGTAGTCAGATAAGGGGTTTCGTCTGTGGATGTCGTGGTAAAAGTACTGTTTTCCAATTTTCCAAATCAAAGTATCTTACAATATGAATTCTAAATCAGATATTCAAAGACCCAGAGCGGGATAAGTACTTCACTTGGAAATCTTGCCCTGCTCATGTACATGCTTGATCTGATGCTGTTGCACCTCCCTCTCAACCGCCTGTTTTCTCAGCGCCGCAATCTTATCGTCGATCATAGCAATGTCGGCTTCAACTCTCAACAGCTTCTCTTGCATCATCTTCTCGTAGTCCTCATCGCTCAAGACTTGCATTGGACTCCACCAGCTCTTTGCGATTTTGTCCATTAGCGTCTCCTTTGGCCTTTCTTCACCCTTAGCTTTTAATTCGGCCAGTTCCTGAAGTTGCCCAGAGTTTCTCGCATCCAGGTAGTTGTACCCGTTCTGTCCTAGCCAGCCTACTAAACTGAATACTATGGTTCCGGGGATAACGTTTCGGGGACCTCGAAACAAGAAACCAAGAGTGAAGCCGGTTGATCCTCCGGCAATGGTAGAGGCGCGGACTTTTTCCAAGGGAGATGGATTCAGGTCATCACGAGGGTAGATGGGGGCACCTCGAGTAAGGTTCCACCAGTTCAGGAGACCATTCTGGTTGAGGAGTGAGGTACGGAAACCCCAGAACGTTGATCCAAGGGCGAACCACTGGGCTCCTGATGCGATGGAAAACAAGACGGGTGTCTGGGTGCGGACTGTGCCGTATAAAGCACCGATTACCGTACCGGGAATTGCTGTACTAGATTAGTTGTGTGCGCATTTCCCTAAATAGAGTTGGGCTGGAATTAAGTTGAATGGTAGAAGAGAAAAGCAAAACATGATATTTGTGTCATTGTCCCGATCCGGGGATAATGTGTATGCATAGAGTAAGGGAAATGGCAAGGCGAGAATCCCAAGGGATAGTTCGTGTCTCGATGTCTGATGGGACAGCCACGATGGCAAAGTCGCAAGCGTACAACAGACGAGATTACGTCAAGAAATGAGTCGAGCAAATACGTACCTGAGGCTCCACCGACCAAGGCGGCCTGTCTGGCAACCTCGAGAGGCTGTGTGACCTGGGCTGGGTCATGTTTGCTGGTCATCGCTCTCGCATGGATGCGACACACAAGGAGGCGATGCAGGGCAAGACGAGACAGTAGGGATCTAGAAGCGGCTTGCGCAGTTGCATGGATGTGAAATGGATTTTGGGGATGACATAAGCGAGGCCCAACGGACGCACAGCTTAAGATTTCCGTTCGGGAAAGAAGAACTCACCCCACACACGAAACTACGGACACACCCCCGCAGCCAGAAGAACAACCCCGACCCAGAGTAGAAGACGCTCTTAGCACTCGAACCAGACAGCGCGCGGAAAAAATCCTTACGCGCGTAGTCTGCTAACCCGCAATCATGGGTGAGTTGCCTTGGGCTGCGCAAAGTGCGGCCGTCGCTCGCGAGCCGGCTTTTTTTGCCCCGCTTTGTACTGCGACGACAAAAGAGACGCAAATGGCTAACGGTGGTTTTTTGCAGCGCCCAAGAAGAAGGAACAGCAGAAGATGTCCCTGGGAGACTTCCTGGGAGATCAGAGTACGCCCCTCCCCCTTCACCGACCCGCCCCAGGCGCCACAGAGGACTGACTGAACGCAGCGCTGGGATCATGGGCTGACGAGATGGAGGATGCGCCAATGCCAGGTGAGTTTCGCCATGTCGCACTCTGCAGTAACCTCGAGTACTAACTTTTTTGCAGGCACTGGTAAAATATACCCCGCCGACACTCGCGGCGCAAATATGCCTCATTCCGCATGCTGACGTTGCCGTAGGTGCTGGCGGCCGCTCCGGATATGGAGGTGACAGGCCCACATTCGGATCTGGAGGTGGCTTCGGTGGTGACCGCGGTGGTAGCTTCGGTGGGTAAACGTCTGCAAGACTTTGTCCTGCATGCGCTAACAACTCTTGCAGCTGACCGCGGATTCGCAACTCGCGAGGCTCTTCCTCTCCCATCCAAGCCCCCGTACACCGCTCACTTGGGCAACCTCTCCTTCGACGCCACCGAGGGTGACGTAACTGACTTCTTCGCCGACTGCGAAGTCACCAACGTACGCATTGTCGAGGACAAGCTGGACCGAAAGCCAAAGGGCTTTGGATATGTTGAGTTCGGCAGTGTAGATGGACTGAAGAAGGCTCTTGATCTCTCTGGCACATCATTCCAGGGCAGAAATATTCGCGTCAGCGTTGCTGAGCCTCGTACGCTGCACACCCATTCTACCATCTGGAAAACCTACTGACATCATAATAGCCAAGGACCGCCCAGAGGCCCGCGATATCTCTGACTGGACTCGCAAGGGACCACTCCCCGACCTTCCAGGCCAGCGCAGCAACTCAGGACGTGGTGGTTTCGGCGCGGGTCGCGACCGTGGCTTCGACGCAGGATCAGATACTGGTGGCGAACGCAGCGAACGTCGCCGCCCACCTCCATTCGAGAGTGACGGTAAGTCTCGTGATTTTGGCAACTGGGAGCGCCGCGGCCCTCTCTCTCCAGCTGCTGCACCTTCTCCCAGTGAGAGCGGCCGCACGCGAGGCTTCGAAGGAACACCCCGTGAGGGACGCAGACAGTCCCCAGCTTGGGGTGAAGGTCAAGGCACCGAGGGCTCACGCGGACCCCGCCGTGAGTTCCAGGAGAGACCGCATGTTGAGAGGCAGCCTACTGCTGCAGAGGCCGACAACCAGTGGCGGTCCCGTATGCGCCCCGATGCGCCAGTCAAATCACCTACATCGACACCCGATGTCAGCACACCATCTTCGCCAGCACCTGCGCCTGCTGCTCCTGCAGGCAGACCCCGCCTGAACCTGGCTAAGCGAACAGTCTCCGAGGCCCAGCCAAGCCCCGAATCCTCCACTCCTTCAGACAAGCCCAACCCCTTCGGTGCTGCCCGTCCCATTGACACTGCTGCGCGCGAAAGGGAGGTTGAAGAGAAGAGGCAATTGGCCCTCCGTCAGAAGAAGGAGGCCGATGAGAAGGCCAAGGAAGAGCGCAAGGCAAAGGAAGCTGCCGAGAAGGCCGCGCCCAAAGATTCAGCACAGCCTACCCCTACCAGGAAGGACGAGAACAGCACAGAGGAAAAGCCCAAGGCCAACTTCGAGATTCTCCAGCGTGTTGATGAGGGTAGCTCGGCCGGTCAAGACGAGGACGCCCAGGGCGAGATTGTTCAAGACAAGGCTGTCAAGCCACAAGAGGTTGTCCGTGACCCACCAAAGTCTGAGGCAGGTTCATGGAGGAGACAGTCCAACACCCCTGCTACACCGGCTACCACCACCGAGACCATGGATGAGGATGGCTGGAGCACCGTCACCAAACCGACTAAGAATGTCAAGAACAACCGCCGCGGTGGAGGCGCGCCAGCTCGCGCAATTGCGTCTTAGGTAGGCGTATCCACTGCCTAAGGCTGGCCCGGCATTCCGTCTGGCCCTGATATTATATCCGGATGATCGCAGCGCATTTAAAATGGCGTGGTGGAGTCCTTTGCTTTCTAGGCCTGTGCTGTCTACCGCAGCTATGATTTGTTGGGCGGTCCTTCGTATTGTTGCATCCGTGCACTACATGGTCTTTTGCCTTATGCTTCGACGGCCTTGTTCATCCAAGCGTGATTTGCAAGGCGCCCCGTGGCTGCTCAACCGCTGGGACGTATTATGAGCTTTCTTTCCTTTACACCCGATAACGAGGTTATCTCCTTGACGCTTCTCGTCTACAAAAGTATTGGTCTTTCCTCTTGGACCCTGCGGATCCGGTAGAACACAGGACATGCCATATTTTCCCCAATATTCCCCTTGCATGCGGTTCGACTGTTGGTATGGATGAGCCATGCTCACTAGTCGGTTTCCTATGATGGACCTTTTTGTTCGGTATGACATGAGAAGAGTGTGTAAACATGTATTTAGCTGCGACTAGATTATGAAAGGATCATCCACTCCACTCAGACACATCATTTTGAGCTTGCTTGTATTCAGGTCTGGAAACATTGCGTGCACGCTGCCTTAGGTCTGCATACTATCGTGACGGTCATGGTAAGTAATTGGACACAGATAAACCCCATACCAAAGAATGGTACGCCCCACTAATGTATACAGATGTAATTGTAATGGTTTAGTGAGATGGTTTGCAGATAACGTTGAGTCGTAGCACTAAGGCACGATGATCGCCGCTATCCGACAGGGTTCGATCATGCATGATCCTGGTCTGTCCGCCACCATACGTCAGATGCGCTGAGTCTGTGTTCCAACTCCGACATCCTGCTTTAATAGCAACCGAATCACCAACTCCATTTCCTGACATTCCCCAAAACTGCAATTCATCACACAGCCCCTTTACATCAAGAACATGTACATTTGAGTGGTGTTTCCAACTCGACGACATCAAGGACCCCTGCTTGTCTTGTGTTTGAACCCTGAGTTGAAAGTCTATTTGTGTGGATGTACACTAGTACTGTATCAGAAAGATAGAGACGACAAGCGGCATCATGGGTTCCAAGTCCGCATCACCAGGGCCAAGTGCAAAGCCAGCAACACCCGCAAAGCAGACGAGGTCCCGGAAAGGCACTCCGCCCAGTCAGGCTGAGCAAGGAAGGGCTGGCTCCGCGGGAGGTGTCGTTTTGCCAAAAGGGAAAGTAGCGAGAGCATCGACTTCACCAGCAAAGAAAACTGCACCAGCAGCAGTTCGACCCTCAGTTGATACAGCTGTAGCCGAAGCAAAGACCCCGAGAAGAAAGCCCAGGAAACTCAACAAAAGTCCCACCTCAACCCCTATTAGCACCCCACCGTCCCCGACTCGCACCAACATATCGAAAGGGAGCCCTTCTTCCTCCGAGCTTGAAGCCCTGAAGGCACGAGTCAGGGAGCTAGAAGCAAAGGTCGAGAAGTTGTACAAGACAGGCGCGATTTCAGACGCCCGCTCAGGCCGCTCACCCCGGCGAAGAGGCAAAGGACGAAAGGCTTCAACTACTACTGTTCAACTCACTCGCACCAACACGAACACAAGTGACGCAAGCATTAACAATGCAAGAGTCCAAGAAGTCGTCGACGACGAAGAAGACGCAGACGAAGAACTCGTCCGTCTAGAAGGCGAACTCGAAGTCGCCCGTCAAGACCTCGAGCACTACCGCCCCAGAACCCGGCGTGCCAAATCCGACGAGACCGAGTACGTCGAGGAAATCCCCCGACGCGCCAGCAACGGAGGCACAGAGCGACAAGTCACTCTCAGCGGCAGCTACCGCATCCCGATCCCCGCCTCAGTCAACCTCGAAGACGTCCAAACAATCAAATCCGGCGTCTCAGCCGCCCAAAACGTCGCTCGTTCATTCCTCGAACAACGTCGTGCTGCCGCCGCTGCCGCTCGCGCAACGCAAGAAGCCCCATCTCCATCTTCAGCATCAACAACGACAAGAGTGCCAGCGTCCAAGACGCGGCCCCAGCGCAGCATGAGTTCGAATCTCGAAGTTGCGGTGGATAATCGTGGGGGGAAGCAGAGCTGGAGCGATTGGATTGGCGGGTATAGCATGGCTATTACGAGGGCGGTGAGTAAGATTGAGCATGAGGCTGCGGTTGAGGCGCAGATGGCGCGGGGGAATGGTGGTGGTGGTGGTGGTGCGAGGAGGACGAGTGTGCCGACGTCGAAGAAGATGGCGGGGAAGAGGCCTGCTGCGAGGGCTACGTTGAGTGGGGAGCAGGTCCATGGGCTTATGAGTTGAGGTGGGTATGTATGATGTTGATGGGCTAATACTGGGGTGTTTGAAAATATACACGGTATGTTAGAATTACATGTCAAAAAAAAACAGCTTCTTGGGAAATATACTTGATTATTAGTAAACCGAAAAAATGGAGTTGGCATATATATTTGATGACAGACTATCTACAAGGAAGTATGCTCTGACACTGCGTTTTTCCTATCACACATCAACTTTACTGCTTCACATCAATCGGTGTACCACTCTGCTCCCCACTCTTCAAGCAACTCTCCAAAATCTCCAAATCCTTCAAAGCCTCCTCGGGACTCTGCATCTCATTCCGCTTCCCCTCCTCCAAACTCTTCGCCCAAGCCTTAATCTCCTGCTTCACGCCATTCCCCTCATCCGGAAACTCCTTGGTCTGCTCCTCTTCCTCCCCCTGTCTCTTAACCACAACCTTGCCCCGCGAAACCGTCACCACACCCTTCTCACACGCAACCACATACTCGGACCCTTTATCCGTCGTCCCCACAGAAATAGACAGAGTGCCCGAACAGCCATTCTCAAGCTGTAAAACCGCATTCAGCGTATCCAGAGGCGGAAGATGCTCCTGCAATTGCGCCGTAAAGGCACTAACCCGCTTAACCTTCTGTCCGGCACCTTGCAACAGCAAGCGGGTAGCAGCTACAAAATGGATACCACCGTCTAGTACGAAGCCGCCTTGGTGCTCGGGCTTCTTGCGCCACTCCGTCTCGTAGTACTTGCTGCCGACGGGGACAGGGAACATGACGCGAACGCGGAAACTAAGCACTCGGCCGAGAGAGGCGAGTTGCTGCGAGGCCCAGATGTACGAGTCGATGAAGCGGAAGTTCTCGGCTACGGTGTAGGTGGCGGATGTGTTGGCGGAATTGGAAGTCCAGGCGAGGAGGGAGGAGGCGGTGCTGAGGTCCTTGGCTATGGGTTTCTCGGCGAAGACGTGTTTTCCGGCTGCCAGGGCTTTTTTGATGTAGTCTGGTTGGGCGGGGATGGGTAGACTTTTTGTTTTCTCGTACGTTAGAATTGGTAGGTTACAATTGGGATATGTTGTACTCACGCGATTACCACGCCTTTGATGTCGTCTCGTTTTAGCAAGTCGTCAAATTTCTTTCCGTCTTGGTCGTCGCTGTATAGATCTATGCCTGAAAGCTTTTCGGAGAGGGATTGGGCTGATTTGAGGGAGCGCGAGTAGACTGCTTTTAGACTCAAGACGGGGGCATCTTGGATGGCTGGGAGGTGTTCTTCTTTGGCGAAGATGCCACTGCCGATGAGTGCGATTCCAATTGCCATTTCTGATTGTGTTTATCAAGTCTGACGAGGGTGATATGAGAAAGCAGTTTGAGATGAATTGGAAGCCTCAGTTCAGTCTATAAAGTCGTCTTTCTACGGCTGTACTGCGGCTAAATGGTAATTTGTGGTCGATGATGGCATTCTTTTCTTCCAATTGAAAAGGCGATGCGACTTGTAGCGGGGTATGTTCTCGCTCCCCCACGATGGCCATGACGTCGGGAGCCATTCCGCATTTGGCAGACGTGACAGTCATGCGTCCGCGGACTCTCAACGTACATAGTCTTGATGCACTTTCGATTGCACAAATAGCCGTCTTCTGCACCCACATTTTTTCTCAGTTCGTGTCTCAATGCCGTTTGAGACCCCTGGAGAAGTACCTCGTACCATAGCCATGCGGTTTCTTACCAATGCCTCTGTGCGCATAAGTACTACTGGCAATGACACAAGTATTGCCGATGATCAATTCTTGGACATCTTTTATCTCCCCGTATTCTGTATCTTGGCAACTAGTTTAAAGACACAGAAATAGCTCTGTGATGATTACGAATGCCTTTTGATGCTTGACTCCCCGGGTTTGGCCCATGGTCTTCTGGAACACCTTTCGCAGATACAAGATCTGCCATGTGTTTCGCATCAAGAAAGTTGCTCCATTAACACGCCACCCCCAATCCAGATCAACATGAACCCTTTGGCGCTACCCGCAATCCTGCAGTACTTATTTACCCCAGAGATTTGCAAAAATATGCAGGATCGAATTCCATAAGGATATATTGGAGCCAAGTTTTTGTAGCCGCTGCCCTAGGATGCGGCTTAAAGCAGGGGTGGAACGTTGCATCAACTTGCAACGACAATCGCATTCGATACCTGGAAGCTTTGACATCCAACGCTCACAACCCCATTGGATGCCTCACCGTTACAAAGCAACTGCCGAAGTGATGTTTTGCAGGACAAGCCTACGCGTGCCGTGGCTTAAACCGTGTGGCCATCTAGGCTGCTTTCCCGCAGAATGTTCTGACGTACTGAAACACAAAGTGCGTTGGAGACGGCTAATCCCTGGTGGCTCCCCAACAAAGCCCATGTCACCGGCAGTTGACTTTCTAGCGATTATCGCTAAAGGACGATCATGATTGACGAGAGATCGTCCCTTGGGGTGCTTCAGCCTAGTTTCGTGGACTCTAGGTTCTGCCCTGACCGTTTTGGTGCTGTATGTGTGTGTGTGCGTGCGTGGGGATGGCCTGAGGTGATAAGGCGGGAGGGCCCAGATGGAATAGTAGAGCCGGTCTCGTTGTTCATGGTGCTTGTCTCGTCCGTTGTGTATCTTTTATTTCTATTTTCTTAGACGCAAGTCGTCTTTTTTCTTTTTGACAAGCTGCTGGCAGCATTTCTTCTTCTTCTATTTCGCTACGAGGTAACTATTGTTGTTAGCAGATAGTCAGTATGGGTTTCGGTGTTCTTGATGACCCTCATATGGCGGCTCCCCCTGGGACGTCGACCATCAATGACTCTGGCTCATCTGGTGAGCTTGACAAGTTGCGTGTCTGAAGTAGACAATGCTGACTGCGTGCCAGTCGATTCGAAAGTCGACTCGAGCTACTTGAAGCGCGATGGGGACATTATCTTACAACCACAGCCATCAGACAGTCCAAACGATCCATTGAACTGGTAAGCCTTGTTTGTGCTTGTATTTCGACCTCCATTGACGAGTCCAGGTCGCCAATAAGAAAGGAGTGCATCATGGTTCTTCTTGCTTTCAGCTCCGGCGTGACAACAGCGTAAGTTCTTCAATCATGATCTGTTCTTCACATACTGATACCAGCATAGCCTCGGACCAATGGTGACACCCGGTCTCCCTCTTCTCGCAAAGAAGTACAACGTCAGTATTGACATGGTTTCGAGTCTCATCATCGGATTTCTCGCTTTCTGGATCGGCTTCACCACGTTCTTTACCGCTGCTGGAGCAAACATCTGGGGCAAGCGTCCATTCTTCGTTATTTCGACAGTGGTTCTCCTCGCTACTAACGTTTGGGGATTCTTTGCCAAGGTATGTTGGAATGCAAAGCAGTCGTTCGGTCATCGACTTACTTCAGCATAGTCATTTGTTTCCCTCGCCGTTATGCGTGTCATACAGGGTATTGCGTCGGCTCCTCTCGAGACGCTTGTCACGTCAACGGTATCAGACATGTACTTTGTCCATCAGCGAGGCACACGTATTGCAGTATGGGGTTGCATGTTGTCTGCTGGAGTGCTGCTTGGGTACGTTTCTCTTGCAATCCCGAACCTGTGTACCCGGCTGATAATCATCCAGTCAAGTCATCGCCGGCGCAATTATTGAAAACGTCTCCTTCGAAGCCACCTTTGGTATCTCAGCGCTCATCTTCATACCCATTCTCCTCGGCATATACTTTTTGATTGTAGAAACTACATACTACGGTCCACGCCCCACGCCTGGGAAGCCCGGGTTTGGTGGAAAAGACGACGATTCCATTGCTGAATCCATGGCTGAACGCGATGAGCCCAAGCATGCATATAAAAGCCAACTCGCGATCTTTCGCGGTCGCATGTCGCCTGAATCTTTCTGGAAGAACGCATGGAAGCCTGTGCCCCTGATCGCTTACCCTGCTGTGTTGTTCAGCACCATCGTGTACGGATCATACTTTACCTGGCTCCTGACCATCTCCGTCCTCTCCGTCGGCGTCTTCTCCGCACCCCCTTACTTGCTGAACCCCGCCCAAGTCGGCCTAACCAATCTTCCTCTCCTCGCTGTTTCTCTCATCGGCTCGCCGCTCTCCGGCTGGACTGCCGATGCAATTGCAAAGTTCATGGCACGCCGCAACAAAGGCGTCTTCGAGCCCGAGTTCCGCCTTACGCTCATGATCCCCGCCACCATCTTTGCAACAGTCGGTTTCCTGGGCTTTGGAATTAGTGTGTCGCGAGGCTTGCCGATGGTGTGGCCCCTTGTCTTCATGTCGATTCACTCGTTGTCTGTGCCGTTTGCTTCGACGGCAAGTCTGACTTACGTCATTGATTGCCACCCCCGCGATGCTAACCAGGCGTTTGTCACTATTAACTTTACAAAGGCTGTGTTCACGTTCATCGCGACGACGTATGCAAATGGTATCATGGCCAAGGTGGGGCCGAGGGCGGTGTTTGATGGTATTACGCTTATCAATTTGGGTATTTGCATGCTTACGATTCCGGCGTATGTGTATGGAAAGAGGTTTAGGAGTTTGGTAGGTTTATTCTTTTGTTTTTGTGTGTTGGTGGGTATAGGGTTTTCGTTGACAGTGTGGAATAGATTGCTAGAAGTTCTTTTGGAAAGAAAATCTCCGGTTAGAGGCGAGATGACGTGGATGCGAAGTGGAAGTGCGATGTGGGAGACTATACACAAGACACGGATGGAATGTGGTATATTCATGCGCTTACGTACACATGGTTCATATATGCACGGTTTCTTTTCGTACAATCGATGGTTTTGCTCTATGCTGTGGTGTTTGCCGTGTTGCGAGGAAGTTCTCATGGGAGCCCAGTATTACAGGATAGAAGAAGTACCAGTAATCTACATGTTGCAACTCGTTCATCAACCTCATGTAGGCTAATAGCATCTCCAAGAATACCCAAGAAGTACTTTTAAACTAAGAAGTAGTACATAACCTTACTCATCTAAATCGTGGTCCGTGAGCCCAGCTTCGAGAAGCCTAGCGGCCGCATACAAAACAACACAAAGAGGACAACGACACGAGGGGACTCTTGGCTAGATCACATTCACACGACTAAAAGTTTCCAATGTTTTAGAAAGTTTTACATTTCTTAATTTGTATACCCTTGAGGGCAGTACTCTAAAGTCATATCTGGCATCTCCAGATGTGCATTCTCAGAGAGAGAGTGGGCGGGGTGGGGGTCCATCCAGACCAGATCATTCCAGATCATAGTACCCACCCCTTGCAACGAGAGAACCCATAGGTCTCGCCCATTTCCGAACATCGCAATGTCGAATAAAAGAAGCAAACCCAATGAAAAAGAACCGAAACACTCCTGGCGCCTTTTGTACCCCTCCAAGTGGTCGTCTCTCCCCTTCTTTTTTTGAGGGGAATTCCTTTTTTTGTTCGCCAAAACGTCCAAGTTCTATTCGCGCTGATAAAATGACGTTGGCAACTGCACACACACAAAACGACCAGCGTCCGCGCCGCGAGAAAGGAGGAGGGGTGGGATATGTCATGGAAATGTTTCTCGCTTCAAGTACAGGAGATCAAAAAAGCAAATGAAGAAAGAGAGGGATTCTTCAGTTTGTGACTCTCCGGATGGCATCGCCTGGTCTCGGCATGACTTGTCTTTGGGAGGAGAACATTTGCGACATGGACTGTTGTTGGTGGGGCGACATGGAGATGGTGTAGCGTGGGCTGATGGGCGAAGTCAGAGACGACTTGCGGGCGGCTGAGTTGACGCTGGTTGTGATTGAAATGGGAGAGGGTGTGGGTGTGGATGAAGTCGCGGTCTTGAGGAAGACGCGGGCGGGGGGGAACTGGCTGATCGGAGGCATGATGTGTGGTTGAGAGAGTGGCGGTCTAGGCCTTGTGTGGGATACAAAAGATTGAGGTTGGTATCGTTGGAGTAGTAGATGAATGCGCGTTTAATATGTGAGTGTGCTTGGGTGTGGTAGAGGTATTTTCGAGAAAAGGGTGACGTTGATGGTGGTTGATTGATGGAGGGTAGTGGATTCCGCTATTCGGGCCTTTGGGCACTCGATGATGTTATTTGAGTGTGAGTCGTACGTAGTGGGTTGCAGGGAGAGAGGATAAAAAGCAAGCTAGATAGGGTAGGGGAGACGAGGGCTGATCATATTATATATTGGTGAGTCGATCCAATCTTGACTCACCCTCCAGCTCGTCCGTCCGCCCATTACCCTTGACCCACCGCCGACACACACGATCTGTTTCCGCATCCTCGGCGTAAAGCCCGCGCCAGAGTCACGAGCCGGCGCCCCGGTTCTAGTGTGCCATGCACAGGCGAGGTTAACTGGGCCGGATATGACATGTGATGTGAAGGCCACACCGTTTGGAGCTACCACACTTATGGCGGCCAAAAGGTTATAGGTCACCCCACATGCAACCCACCTACCGATGACTTGCCCCCATACTCCACAGACTACCTAGTATACACCCAATGCCTGCACACGGTGTCGCGCAGAAATCCGCGCTTTCCCAACCATGGGGGCCCAGTCGGCCCATCCCCCTCGTCCACCCACCTGTATTGGTTCCGGTGTGTGCGTGCAGATGGACATATCCGGTGTATGCAGCCTTTTCCCCTCATCCCTCTCCTTCCCTTATCCGGTGAATTAGCTTCCAGCACCCAGCATATCCGGCCGCCTGAGCAAGGCACCATTTCCGCATCGCGTGAGCAAGGCGAGAGAGAGGGAAAAACCGGCGCGACCTTTTCCGTCTTGCGATATTTTTCCCAACTTGTTTCTCTATCTTGATCTTGATCTCTCTCCTCTTTCCCCATCGTACTACTGCATGTCTCATACTGCAAAACACTCTAGCTCCCGCTGTACACATCCCCGGCTCCTTGGCTCACTCAATCTCAAAGGCGTGATGCGACGATGCGCAGCCTGTGCCTTTACACCACCACCACCAGTCTAAACCCACGCCCGCATTGCATGGGATCCAGTCTCTCCCATAGGACAACCCCCCAACCTGACACAGAAACAGCACATGCATTCCTCACCGCCGTTGCGCGCATACGTACGTGCAATGCGACTACGCGGGGGAACAATGTGGGAGGGGGGTGGGAGGGAGAAAGAGGCGTACGTATTGGCAGCCGCCAGTCCAGTAACCTTGCGCACGTCAGACAATGACAGTTGCACTTGACCCTCCAAAAACCCCATTGTAGTAATCGCCCAGATCCCCCCACCATCTCGGACGCCCACGCCCCTCCCGCCTCTAACGCGACGATCCTCCCTCTCCCTTTCCCTTTAACACCAAGACATACGGAACAAACACGCATACACCTTACCTCCCCGTCCCTTCCTACCGCCCAAATCGAGGCCAAGCCAGCCAAGTCCGCTCCGCATAGTGTGGGCGGGTACACAAGATACACTACCTGAAGCTGTTTCTGTGCGAGGCCAGGACGCTGGGACCCCGCCTCCCTTTCTTCAGGAGTTGTGGCCCTCTTAATCACATTCTTAAATACTCTGACACTCTGACAGCTAAACTGGGTCCTTGTTGCTTGCTTGGCCTCATGCAACAAACACCCTACGGTTACTACTGTAACCCACAGACATACACACACATACACATATGCCCAGATTAAGTAATATAGTACCAAGCCCCCTTCGATCTAACATGGTCTGTGAACCAAAGAAAAGGCTGTTTATGCAACCCAGCTGCTTGGGCCTCCGTTTGGCATGTGGGCATGTGGGGTGGTGCGAAAGGAGTCGTATCTGCCAAATCTTTTCGTGTTTGAAAGTCAGCCCCGTCTGCGTTTTGAAAAGATGCGGCAGGCTGTTGCCAAGCCTTTTTGCTTACTTTACGTTAGCCAATGTTTCGTGCTAATATTTATGTGTTCAATCACATGTAAGAAAGGACTACTAGTAAAATGATGATCGAAAAAGGCTTGGGGCTGCAAGTGTGTAGTAAGCTTTTTTTTGTGGGCCATGGCCGTGTGAAGGGGTCATAAGGTAGGTAGGTAGGTGGGTGGGTGTGGCTCGTCGTGGGGGCTACGCCAAACGGTCATCTTGCACGTACAAAGGTGGGCTTGATGCACGATGACTGTGGCATCGAGATTATGCCGGTTTGTTTCTTTCAACAGCATACTATATTCCCTCCATCTAACTTGATATCTGTCCGTTGTTCTTGCGTAGAGCGCTTGCATGCAGATCCCCAGAAAAAGCACAGTGTGCGGCGTGCTTGGAGGGTGTAGTGGGAGCCAACCACAACAAAGAGCCACGGCGCCTTGGTAGGAACCAGTGGGAGAGCTCCAGCTTCCAGCTCCCTAGTCAACTGTACCACAAGCACCCACATCCAGACATCCACACACATCCACATTTGCATTTGCTTTCATGGTACAACATGTCGTATCATATTACTTTTCTAATATACAAAGTCATCCATCTTTTCGGCATTATATCCAATTCGTCAAGACAACTTGTCCTCCCTGCAACATGCGGCAGCCTCGTCTAGAGCAATCGCCGTATACAAAGCCACCAACGCCAACACACTGTTGCACCATGTCATGCATGCGCATGCCTTGTTGGCATGCTACCACACTCGTATAGCATCAATATTCCAAGCATTTTATATCCTAGATGCTCGAGGTATCTAGGCCTTGGGCTTGGCCTTGGGAGTGCCGCTGCGGACGCGTTTCGCTTCGGGCCGCTGGAGGTGCGAGGCGGGAATCCAGCTCTCGTCATAGGCCTTGGCGCCAGACGTGACAGCGGGACCATCGGCACCGACAACTGCAACCTGGTCGGCAGGGTCGACCTTCTTGCTCTGGCCCGAAGACATCCTGGCGCGCTCACCACCCTTGCCGTGGCCCTTCTTCTGAGGGAAGAAAGTACTGATCCAGGTGTTGTAGATGAAGTAGACGGTTCCGCCAAAGGCACCAAGGACGACAAGGTAAAGGAAGAGGCTAGAGGCGCAAGTTAGTTATGGCACAATTATGAGATCATGGCAGATATGCGGGGAACGTACATTTGAGGATCAAAGAAGCTGTTGGGGGCCTCGACAACGCTGACAGTCTCGTTGTAAGCAGGAACGGTGAACACGGTATTGTTGGCGCCCTTCAACACGGTAATGAGTTCCAAGCGTAGGTTCTGGGGGTGCATGTCGAGAGTGAAGCTGTAAGGAACAGTCTCCTCGGCGCCAGCGGGAATCTCGATCGAGTAGCGCTTCGAAGTAAGGTTGCGGACGATTTGGGATTTGCCAGCGACCTCAGAGACGAGCGAGCCACCAACAACGGAAACGCCAATGGGCGTAGGCTCATTGTTGGCGACGGAAAGACGCGCCTCGGTGGCATGGCCGTTGACGAGCTTCACGCCAAAAATCTCAGATTGAGGGAATGAGACGGAGACGGCGACATTAAGGTTGGGCGTCTGCGGCTCCTTGACTTGCTCTTGGACCTTTTCAGCCTGAGAATTGGTGGTTAGCCATCTGATGTCATGTGTCGTCACAACATATCAAACTCACATCAGCTGCGGCAAAGGCACTAAGTGCGCGCAAGGAGAGCAGGAGCAGAGTAGAGGATCGCCAATTGACCATGATGGAGACGCTGCAAAAGGATGGGATGGTAAGAATAGAGAAGAGGGGCGTGGGAAGAGAGATGGTGGAATTCGAACGTGGC